TAACATCAAGGGCAGTCTTGAGAAAAAGAAACCACAGAAGGGCAAATCAAGGTGGAAATAGAAAAAGAGGCCCAGATGCTACTTTGGCTTACTGAGGAGAGATCGGAATATATTTTAAAGAGATTTCTTTTCTTTTCTTTTCTCTTTTTTTTCTTTTTTCTTTTCTTTCCTTTTCTTTTCTTTTCTTTTCTTTTCTTTTCTTTTCTTTTCTTTTCTTCTCTTTTCTTTTCTTTTCTTTACCTCCATTAATAAAGCCACCTCTTTCTTTCCTTTCTACCATCTGCCTGAGTCACCACCAGACATACAAACTCCTTGGTGAAATGTTGGAAGGTGCTCAGGTCTTTTGAGACCCATCAGATAAGAGAGAGACTGAGAAGTCAAGTATACATGTTGGTTTAGTATTACCAAAGGAAAAGCACTGCAAAAAAAAAAGAAAAAGAAAAAGAAAGAAAGAAAAAAAAATCAAAAGGAATGACCTGCATTTTTCCACTCAATAAACTGATCTTTCTTAATCAAATAATTTTCCCCCTAGAAATGGAACCAAGATGGATTTCCATAAAAACTTTGGCCACATTGAGAAATTATTTAGTGTTATCATAAGATTTGTAACTGCTTTGCTAGTTTCCAGAAAACATCACTTTTATAGTACACTATTCAGCTTTAGAGATGTGTAAAAAATCAAGTGAAAAGCTCTCATTACCTTCCTCATAATTATGGTAGTTGAAAATTGCATGACATCAGTTTTTCTATTTGTTCCTTATTGGGGCAATAAGAGCATAAGAGCTGCCATTGGATGAAGGGCTCTGTCTGCCTTACTGTTCTGGACTTGTTTGGGTTAACCTGTCAATCCAAAGAAAAAAACTTTACCAACTTCACCCCGTTGGTAAAGAGAACAAAAGAACAGCCAGCATGAATCTGTGTTCTCAGGGAGAAGGAGTCCTTATGACAGAGCAAAAGCTCAGTGACTGTGGGATTGGTGTGGCAATGGGGGAGGGGGTCGGGGGAGAGGGTGGAAATGGGGGGGGGGCTCTAAGTTTCCTTCAATCCTTGAGATTCTATATCCACTGTGGAATTGTGAGGAACAGAGGTATGCTTCTGCTGATTATCAAACTATACCTGGAGTCCTCACCAAATGCGCCCCATCTCCTGTAACTTCCCATGTGATGAAAGAGGAGGCATTAGGCTCTGGGAAGTGAACAAGGGACAGCCTAAGGATCTGTTCCTTTAAAAATTACATTAATTTCAACTTTGCTACCTTTGCTGGGGGGAGAAGCGAAAGGTGAGCATTAGCAATCCTTTCTGATTTTTACCTCTCTTGATTCAAAGGGCTTATTCATAAGGATTGACTTTATCCTGCCTCTTTAAATGGACTGAAATGCCCTTTAATAAGCAAGCTTCCTATTAATCATTTTACTATGCAAGAGCACGAAAATCAATTTATAATTTAATGGCTCCTCCTGTCAGGGACACTACTGATGGTATTATTAATGATTTTGAAATATGCCATTATGCAAATCCCATCTATTTTAGGTGTCTTGGCCAGGCACCTACAGAAGTACTGGTTTCTTTTTCTTCTTCTTTGATTTTCCAGTGTCACAGTTATCAAATACTGAAACATTTTCTAAGGATTATTATCCTAGTAAATAGTGATAATCTAAAGATCAACTTTCAGTGCTTATTTTATTATGCAAACAAATTGTGTGGGGCTTCATATATCTCACACTCATCAGCTACTCAGAGTATAGAAAATAAAGCTGTTAGGACAATAGAGGATTAAATTTGCCAGGAATAAGAAACAATGTTATTTGGTTGCTTCTATTTATTTCTGAATGAGTTGTCATGTTGCTCTTTGGGAATAAAACTGGAAGCTTTTTCTAAACAAAGGCACCCTATTAGCCAGGCTACCCCAACCATCTCTACTGTACTCTATTTCTGCAATCTAATAAAACGTGTGATGTGGTGTAGGATGGGTTGGGAGCACAAGATGGAGAAAGAGAAGTCAAATGTTTTTAGGTAATATAAGCAAGAACATTGCAACATGGCATCCACCTTAGTGTACCCTATCATGAAGTGATAACAAATAATGGGCCATGAGCTCCAAAAGATGGTAGCATGGCCCTTCTAATGCCCATTAACACTTTTCCACACTTGGTCTTATGGCTAATTGCTTTAGTAGAGCTGAACAACTGTAGTTTATGATTATAAGGCAGGAAGATAGAAATCCAAAATGCATAAATTTGATAACAAAAAGGGTAAACTTTTGGCAGGTTTTTGTAGAATAAATTTGATTTCACTTATAACATCAAATCCAGTTCTGAAGTAAAGAGCACATGTATCGTCACTTCTTACATCTTCTTGTGCTTTCTCTAATAATTTGTAACTTTTGGAGATTGAGGAATGATCAGATATCCTAGTGTAGTCAGGGTAGACTGATTTTATATATATTTACACACACACACACACACACACACACACACACACACGTAAATAGGTCAATTCCAGAGAATAGTTTTCAGAAGTTAGACAGGAACTGTTCACTACGTACATGTAGTTGGACTTTGTCACACCGTTGGAAGTTTGTAAATATCTAACTACTCTGAAAAAATGATTATTGCTTTAGTCATTTATAGCTGCTCATCTGGCCTTCGTATTTCAGTCTTTGAGGACACAGCTGAGGTAGGAAAGAAAAGGCACTGTCATGAGCCCAACTCCTTGGTAATGAGAAATTGGATATGAGCATCATGCGGGGATTTCGTAAGCTGAGGAGCAGAGAGCTGGTTATGGGGCCTGGAGGACCAGAAGCAATCATTTGATCTCACTTCTACAGTGTTAACCCAAGAAAGCAAGACTAAAGCATTTAGCCTTAGGGCCTAGGGAATTCAGAGAATTCAAAGCAACTTCTACCTTTCTTCTCCTTTATACTAGGAAAGAATACTGATGCTCTTTGGCATATATAGGTATAAATAAAACTTGGTGGCTTTGATCAATAATTTAAAAAGGGGGGAGCACCTAGGTGGCTCAGTGAGTTAAGTGTCCAACTCTGGCTTTTGGCTCAGGTCATGATCTCAGGGTGGAGCCCACTTAGATCCTCTCTCCCTCCCCCTCAACCCCTTCCCACCCCACTCTCCCTGTCTTTAAAAAAAAAGGGGGGGAGTTACAAACTAATTTTCTTCCAGAAGACCTAGAAAATTCCACCGAAACTAAATAATGTCAGTGACTAAAACTATGCGTCTGTGTAAACTCAGTGTTTCAAAAACTTCAGTCAGAAATGTTCTTGGCCAGTGTTCCTGGAAAAAAAATTTTTTTCAAGAACAAACAAGTGTTTAGGGGGCTCTGAGTAAGTGGTAATATAGGAATTGATTAAGCCCTTATTAATTAGAAGGTAACATTAGGTATATCTTCAGAGTCATCAGGCTTATGGGAAACTGAGATTTGCATAATATTTGCATTTGTCCTACAGTCTGCCATTTCACTCACAACCAGAGGACCCTAAGGCTAGAAGTGCTAACAGATGGATTGCGGGAAAAATTCTTAACTAAAAGCTTTGGTGTATGGGTGGGGTTTGAAAGTGGTGTAAATAGTGTATTTTGTCAAAGTTGAACCTCAGCTTTGGTGGGATGAAAATCACTATAGCGTCATGACCCCCCATCCCCCACCTTTCAAAATAGCTATTGGGAGGTCTCAGCTTCCATGTTTAGAAAGACATATAAAACATGAACATTTTCCCTTTGTGATCTAGGTGGAAAATCTGACTAGCCTGAGTAAGAGTTCGATTCTAGGACATTGGGTGGGGTAAGATTAAGGAGTTTGATTTTATTTTGTGATGGTCTTATACATTTATTACAAAAATATTATGTTTGGAAATACAGTAAAGCAGAATGAAGGCCAAGAAAAATGACCCATAAACCTATTGCTCACAGACAACCTCTTTTGATATTTTGATGTGATTTACTGATTTGTTCTAAATGAGTAAATTCCAGGGCATGGTTCAGACAATCCTACGGTTAAGGCATTTATTAAATAAATATATTTTTCTTTTCTTATTATTGTGATCTGTGTTCTTCTGCTTTTCCTTCTCATGGTGATGATAAACCTACGAGTCCTGAGTGCTCTCTGTTGCCTAAAATCATTCCATGGCCTTGGGCAGGGGAGCTGTGCTTTGGGCGACCTCTCCAATCTTCCGGACCTATCCCATACCCCTCCTGGAAGAAGACAGTCACAGTACAGAAGTTTCTCAGTGGCCATTTGTCTGGAAGTGCAACTCGTTAACCTTGCTTTCGTCTTCTCTGTGTTCCTTCTCTTTCTTTCCTCTTCCCCTTGTTCGTCAATTTCTATTCTTCTCTGTTTCAGCAAAACAATATCAGTCAAGGTAATTGATGATGAGGAGTATGAGAAAAACAAGACCTTCTTCCTTGAGATTGGAGAGCCCCGCCTGGTGGAGATGAGTGAGAAGAAAGGTGGGGGAGCTGCTCCAGGGCTGAGCCCAACAGCTTCTGCTGGCCTGTGCCACCCCTGGATGCCTGCACTCTTCGGACATGGCTCACAACACACACATCCCTCCACCTATGTAACAGGGCATAGATCTCACCCCGGGGCCACAGCGGGCCCAGCCTGTAGCTCCATCGGCCAATTCTGGCCACTCTGCACATGGCAGGTCTGAGAGACGAATTTTCAGGGCAGTCAATCCTGCCTGTTTCCGGGAAGGGTGGTACTGATGCTGGCCGTGCCAAAATGAAGCCCGCGTTCTGATTTCTCTTCCTTAGTCGGGGTACTTCCTGCTAGCTCACTGAAGCAGGAAGCATTTGTGAAAGTGGCAAATGAGGAGACAAGGTCACGGGGGCCCGCTGAGAGTAGCTGCCATGCCCTATTACATACTTGCGAGGTCCATGTGTTGCCAGTTCTCCCTTCCATAACATCACGGTAACATGCAGCTTGGTGAACACCTAGCATGAGCGTGTGACTCCAACCATTTGTTTTGCCTTTGTCTTGTGTTCCCACAGGAAGATCATTACCATTAGAATATTTGACCGTGAGGAATATGAGAAAGAGTGCAGTTTCTCCCTTGTGCTTGAGGAGCCAAAATGGATAAGAAGAGGAATGAAAGGTGTGAGAGTATACAAAGACATACCAGCGAGAAATTGTACTCTTCTCTCTCCGTGTCTCCTACTCTCACACTTAACTCTCTCCTCTTCCTCAGCTCCAAGTACTATCCTTCATTTCCTTTGAAGCTTTAACGGTTTCATCTCCCTCCCCTAATTCACAAACGCACCAGACAATGCCCATTTTCCTCAAGGAAATGCCCACTAACTTTGATTGAAAGCAGATTGAAGAAATGCTAGAAGAGATTTCTGTAATTCAGAAGTGATGATCTAAAAAGCATGATTTCTGTGTTCAGGTATTTACTACTCAGGGATCATTCTAAAATGTCCTTCCAACTACTAAATCTCCCCTTGAACATTCGTGACAAAGACTACCTAATACCTATTAGTAGTGACAGATGAGTCTAATGGCAACTAATGAGTACTTTCAGAAGAATTCAATAATTAGGCTTCTTTAGACAACCCCATTTTCAAAAAATATATATTTAATAAGAACAAAGATCCTTGAAGAGTAATGTTATCCACATTCTAGCGTTCATTTTGGCCTGAGATTTTTTTTATATCATCAAATATGATATTTAAAAGGGACCAGATGTAGGAAACTATAGTCATACAAATTTTCTTTTGTAGGAAGGATATGGTCCTTTAGGAAGAATTTAGCCCTCGCTTAAGGCCTAACCAGCCTTATGCTCTGAAATGTTTTGATTCTTATAGAATCTACAAATTTATAATATGTGTAGTAAAAAAAGAAAAGAAATAAACAGTATCCTATAACTAGATTTTTTTTAGTTGATTTGTACTTACATATTTTTAGGAAAATATTTGAACAAAAGCCAATTTCTTTGTCCTCTTTGATTTTATTTCTATTTTCTGCCGCCTATTTTTGATAAGGAAGGACAGGAATTTTATACCACCCTTAAAGATAATTTTTTATTCTGAATTTTTACAAGGGCTTCCTACGATTATCCTCTAACAGTGGCCACTTTAAAGGGATTATGTAATTATACATGTAAAATGAGCTTACTACACATTAATAGCTCTTACTCATTGCAACCAAACAATTGATGACTAGCATAGAAGATGATTAGATGGACCCCTTTGTAAGAAATTTATACTTTTACATGTAAGGAAAAATATCAAATATATAGGACTAATTCCTATATAGACCCAACATTTGGGGGAATTTAATCTCACATTTGTAAGAACTCACTGACTTCAGAGTCCATCAGAAAAAGAAAAAAAAAAAAAGTGTATGTCCCTGACGGAATCATGTCCCAAATGGTAACGGGAGCCGTTTGGAATGATGGAGAATGGAGCACTGGGGACCCATTTTAATGCAGCCTATTTAATATGTTTCATAGGCAGTAGGCAGAAGGAAAAGACACTAGAAAACTGAGCTGATTTCTTACAAAGATGGGATCAAAAATGCCTCATTAGCATACAGGAAAAAAGCACTTACTTCTAAATGTATTCCTCCAAAACACTGTCTTTTATCTAAAGGAAGAGCATCTTGGATACAGCTCTTTCAATTGTCGTTTTAGTAAAATATGCCCTCATGTAAAGGCAAATTAAAATTCCTTGATAGCACTATCTGGTTTCACACCCTCCAAGTGGATTCTTGTCACTATAAATAAAATTACTGACTTGTTTTAGAAAGTATCCTCTAATGCCACTAACCGTTAGCAGCAAAATGGGGCTGAAAACAGAATTGTAGCATTCCCCTCCACAGCTCCTGAAGAAATTTATATAATATGTTTAGCTAGGGAGCTTTCACCAAAATAAATTGCTACTGTATAGTCTGGGCTTAAAGCACATAACCTGGAAGATAAATTATGGATGCGATGCCCCCTCCCCACCACCTGCCTTGTCAGTTTCCATGGAATTATGTGTCCACAAGAATTGTGATTGTCTAATTATAACATGCAGAAGTCATAGAGAAGGACGCACAAACAGATGCAAATTCCTGGCACCCAAGTTTTGAGGATTTCAAAAACATAAGCATCCCTTGATGGCCAAGGAATACCCTGCAAATAGAACCTCCAGGGAGAGCATTACCTTGGACCAAAGTCTCCTTCAGGCAGGGCAGCCAAAATGGAATTTCCTAAGATGTTTTACCTGTTTCCATTGAACGGAAGGTGTCACACCTGAGATCCTGGATGATTTAAGACTTCCGTGTGTTGAATTCAGTAACTGCTGGGCAATATTTAATGAGGAAGACTCACTCAAATGAAGTTAAGATTAACTTCATAAAACATTTCTACTCTATTTGGTAAACTAGATACATTTACTATATGTAAACATATATAGTAGAAATGTTTTATTAAATGCCAAAAAATAACAGATAAGGGGAATTGTATCCATATATAATAACTCACACACATTTGCAAAAACTTAGTATTGGGATTGTTTATTGGAAACTGTTCCCAATGCCACATTTCCCTGGGAGGCACCCACGTTAGCAGTGTCTTCCTACCACTGGAATCAGATCTGCCTGGATTTCTTTCTGCTGATATTCCTCTTACTTTCATTATTCATCTGGTCTCTTATTCTGTGTTGTCTTTGTCTGTTTCCTCCACAGCCCTGTTATTGAATGAGCTTGGTAAGCATTTCATTTCTTCCATTTCCTTTCCATTTCTCTAGGTGATTTTCCGTGAATGTCAGGTGGTACAGTAGTTTTCTGACCTTTATTTCTATTGATTTACCGGCAGGATTGTCATGTAGGGCCATTGGCCTCATTTTTGTGTAGGTTAGATAGTTAATATTCCATTTTTAGTTTAGTATGATCTTTTTAAAAACCAGTGATTGCTTAGGTCTGCACAAGAATGAAATGTGTGCACTAAGTCCCATAATCTTAAAAGAATGAGTAGTGATTAAATCACAAATGGATGTTATCTGATTTTTCTTAATTGTAAATGTAATTAGGCAAGTTGCTGTATCTTATATGGGTGGCCAGGCAGTCCGACGTCACTGGTATTTGTCATTTAGAATGTAAGTTAAATAAATTGTAACATTTCTTCTTTTTTTTTCTTTTTTAGGTGGCTTCACAATAACAGGTATGAATTTTTAAAGCTAATGACGTCGAATTTTATTTTTTTGCTTTCTGTCTTCGCCATATGTTGTTTACATTTTTAAAAATCGCTTCTCATTTTTATTTGCTTTGAATGAAGGAAAATACCTGTATGGTAAGACAGATTTTTTTTTTAATGTTCTTCATTTTCCCCCAAATGCCCTTAAAAATCAAAACCACATTTTATGCAACCTGTGTTAACATTTAGCTGTGGCACACGGTGTGCTCTTGCTGATTTTACACACTTAACATTGTACACATTAACAGTGTGTGTGTTGTGTTTATGTACAAGCAAATCTGTATGGAGAACCTGTAACTGTTCACATTTTGATACTGGTCGATTTGAAAATGTTCACGTAGCACTGATGATGTGCAGTGTATTCTGCTAGATGCTCCAGGGTACCAGATTAGATAAGACAATTGCTGGCCTCAAGGAAACATAGGAATTGACATCCAGGACAAAGCACCGTCTCCTAATACTATATGGTGCCCTGATAGCAAAGGGCAGAGCAGTCCCTTCTCCTTATTCTACGACATCAGTCTGAGCCCCTCTTTGGGGACTTGGGTTTGAGGATTATTAACATGATCCCTAGAAGTGCATTACACAGTGCTCTATGCAAACCCAAAATGCCACTCAAAGTGTTTAAAACTCTTAAATTCATGTTGGCATTCATCCTGCGTTGATCACGTTACTTAACACAACTCTAAAGCTATTTTCTTGTGTACAGAAGGAAGAAGGTGTCTCCTTACGGTATCTTCCCTTTTGACCCTAGGTTTATTCCCACCCTTTGAGAATCATCTAGGCAGATTTAGAGAGAAAGAAATATCAAGTGGCGGCGTGATGTGTTTGAAACTGCAGGTTAAAGATGTCTCTAAGGGCATCCTGTTGGCCACAGCGTTTTCCGATATATTGTGCAGATAACACTACTGTAATTATTTTTTTTCTGCAATCAGCTGAACCAAAATACTTAAAGGAGGAAATATTCCCCCAGATTCCAGTTTTGCAAATGCTGTGGTAAGGGAATTGGGGGTTAATTAAACCACTGTTCTTGTAAACTCATGATCAGGTAGTTCCAGCATGATTCTGTCCCAAGTAGAACTTTCTGAATACGAGCAATTTCACAGGGGCTGTTGGCTCTCCACTGATTCTCTCCAGACGCGGCATCTAGTGACGAAATGATCCAAAGACTCTCAGAGACACAGAAATTGAAAAGGATAAAAATGTTAAACAGGACAAGTCCTCACAGAGGATTTTTAAAACCTGAGCCATCTCAAGCTCTCCCAGGTCAAGTCTCCCTCACTGTGCGCTGCTGAAGATGCTATTTTTGAATCTAATGCGGGAATTTCCATTTATTTTAAGTTGGTTATCCTTGTGAGATTTGAGGGAGGAAGAAATTGGGGAAGACAGCCTTCATGGCTTCTGAAGTAATTAGAAAGAAAAAGTCAACCATTTTAGAAATAGTATAGCGTCTAGCAGCACCTTCAGCCTCATGCAGCCTGATAATGAGATCTTCACCAAAAATCTTGGGCTGTAGAATGCTTTGTTAAGATGCATTGATATATTTAGGTATTTTCCTATTTTCCTTATTGAATATGTCAGGATTTTCCTTTTAGGGCCTTCCTTCCCTATCACTTGAAGTATCTAGGTAATAACAGAATCCTATTTTTCTTTTCTCAGGAATTGTTCATATCATGTTCTAGACTATCTGTCTGGTAATGTCCAACATTCCCTGCCTAGGACACATCTTGCATTCAAGAGAACAGAATCACTTCTTCCAAAGATTTCTATCATTTCATGTACTTCATTAAATTCTTTCTTATGGCTTCAATTTGAAATAATAGTTTGTCTATTGTTACCACCTTTTCCCAACACTTGAAATTGATACAGTTAGAACAAGTCAATGTTCCAAAAACTCTCTGGGAATCTCTACATGGGCCTGTTCTTCTCACAGTATATGACCCTTCTTCTCCCAATCCAGGTCAGAGTGCCTGGGATCTACTCTCTATAGATGCCCTGGGGAAGGTCCTAAAACTTAGGTCTACACAGTGAAAAGCAGCTTTAAGTCTAAAGAACTTTCCTTTAAAGTCAATTTGAGGCTTTGAAGTCAAGGCTTTGAGATGCAGGGGCAACAGAGAAGAATTAATCTAGCCCTTGGACTCTGCCTGCAGCTTTTATATGGTTTTGTGCAGCTGAGTGTGAAAATCTAAATTTGAAACAGGATATATGGAAATTGAAAAAAGTCATTCGGTCCACAGCCCAATATGTTTCAGAGATTTCATTAGTGGTGGACATTAAGTGCTGGAGGTGATTTTGGAATTTGCAAATCTTTATGTGTTGCTCCTAGACCTTGCCTCATTGAAAGGCCCTTGTTGGAACCTATGATCTCATTGTCCCTTGACCTTTTTGGCATATAACATGATAACCCCCTATACATTATAGCTCATTAGAGTTTGCAAAGCATTTCGTATTCATTGTATCATTTAATCTTCAACCTTATGGAGTACGATTTTATTTTTCTCACTTATAGGGAGGAAATGAAGCTTGAAAGCGATTAATTAATCTACCCCAAATCACCCATCCAGGATTCAGAGCCTGGCCCTCTGACTTCAAGCCCACAGCCATTTGATGAGTGTTCTAACCCCAGCACTTTCATCTCCTCCCTCTCAGTCTCTTTATTCCTACCTTCATCTTAACCCCTTGGCAATCCAAAGCCCAGCTATGCCACATAAATGCCATCAGTGTGAATTCCAGTCAAATGAGAAATGAGAGGGACCCTGGGAGGGGGAAACTAGAGCACCTTAATTTGTATTGCTTAAAAAAGTTAAGTGTTCTGGTTCAATTTGGAGAGGAGAGAGGCAAGTCTGATGCCCCCAAACAAGCAGCCATAGAGTTATATATTAAAAGTCAGTATACTTCTTTAGAAGTTGCTTTCCCAAGTATATTATGCTCATCATATAATAGACTTTAACAAGGTACATGGCTTTTTTAAAACATTTCAATCACTCCAGTACCAAGGGTAGAGGAACAAATCCCCTTCAACTTTAGCTTCATTTATAGTTGAGGAAACTGAGTCTCAGAGAAGAGAAATCCTCTACCCTTTTTTCGATGGCAAACATATGGCAGAGTTGGCACCAAGTCCCAATCTCACGATTCTCAGATCAGTTCAAGGTAGCTCTTGGTAGAAGCCAACAGCAGGTAGATTTGGCAGTCAACTAAGCCAGACGTTTAATGAAAACCCTAGGCCTAGGTAACCCAACAGTTACTGTGATGATGGCATACCCTCGCAAAGCCTACCAGTGTATGAAACCTTCTCCCATTCGGACTGCTCAGGAAATAGATAAGTATGTTCCCAGATGCTAAGTTACTCAACCCTCAAACAAACTTGTAATATGGATGGAGCAGGTGTTAATATCCCCATTTACCTGTGGGGAAACTGGGAAAATGGCCTGCTCAAGGTTATGTCATTGGCACCGGTACGCTTCAAAACCAAGTTGCCTGTCATCACACTAAGTGCTTTCCATTGTTTCACGAGGCCTCTGGAAGCAGTAACTTGAAGGACAAGGACACTCCCCTTAGATGCCTGCAGGAACCTAGCTGCACCCCCTCTTGAGGAGTGTGTGGTTCATTCACATAATCTGGTTTGGCTCATAGCACACTTGACCCATTATTTGCTCACTTCTGTGGCCTCCATAGCGGTGGCCTCTAACCATTCAACCCCTAAACTAACACTGCTTGTGATGTGTGCATCTGGGTGTGATGTTTAGCTGACTAATTCCACAGAGCTCTGGTAGCAAACCAACGCAGTCCATTCTAATGATTTTCTGCCTGTCCTTTTCGCTAGGCCAACCTGTCTTCCGGAAAGTTCACGCTAGAGAACATCCTATTCCCTCTACTGTAATCACCATTGCAGGTACTCAGTGCATCATGGTCCTTGAAAACCACAGTTTAATTTGCTTGAAGTTAACTGCCTTCAAGTGTTCTTTAAGTCTTTAGACATTAAAGTAGCACAGTTTGGCCCGTGTCCCCACTAGAACATTGTTAAATAATGCAGTGGTTTCTCTGAAGCTCTGAGCATGGTGGGTCGGTAACAAAACACAAGCGTATGCATGCAGGACAGGAGGCCTGGTAGAGGGAGCAGCACGGGCCTGCAGAGAAGGTTGACCGCCATGACCTCTCCCTCTCAAGGTTCAATGGATTCCAGATTTCCTGCAAATCTCCCTCCTCAAACACGGGTCTTTCATTCCAAGTATAGTGACGTTTCTTTAAAAGCAAGCTATACTTCTTTCTAGAACCTGCCTTTCTTGCCTCCAGGCAATGTTAGCCACATATGCATGGGTGATAGTACATCTGTGGGGGTTCTTCAGAGGGAACATTGCCAAGGTGACTAGAGGATCACACAACCATCCCGGGTCTACTGTAAGCTTAGAGCCCAGGCAGCATCTCCAAGTCTGCATGAGGACAGGGCTGTTCCTTCCTCGGTCATCCCCATCGCCATCACTGGCCATGGTGGGAGAAACATTTCCTCCTTTCCTCATCCTCACATGCCACTTCCCTACTCGATAATCATGATACCAAGACCTGACTGCAGACTTGTTCCAGAATATTCCTAGTGGAAATAAATAGACCAGTCTCCTGGCTCTAACCAGCAAGGCCAGTCAGGTGCTGAAAACTGTCAAGAGGTCTCTACTCTCAGACTTGTCACAGCACAGATCTGAGCGAAGGATTAAAATAACCTTGAGCAAAGTGTCCCACCGCTGGCCTTGTACCCCTTTCCGAATTTGACATTGTTGGTTAAGATTAAAGATTGCCACGACGTCAAAGAATAGCAACAGTAGCTCCTCAGGTGCAGATCTGCATGTGGTTGTTCTGTTTTCTAATAGGGATTTTCCCTCTGAGCCCTTCACCTCTCATGGCCCTCCTGCTTCAAAAAGCAGCCGAGCCAGAAAGCATTAGCAGCAGCTTTTTCAGACATCCCAGGTACCTATGAGCTTCTGTAATTTGTCATTTGCAAAATCAGTTACTCAAAAGAAGGGAGGTCCTCTACTGGTGGTTTTATCACAGACTGGCTTTATGTCCTGTCAATACGGATTTTAACAGGGGGTATGGATTATCCATTTGATCTTTAGGTTGTGTTGGTTAGTTAAGACCGTGATGTTCTGTGATTGATTATCAACTTCTCGGTAAAATATGGTGAATTTAAAAAGCATACATGTATCTGTATGGAGAGACAGAGACAGAGAATGACTTTTCCGTCTGAGAAGCAAAACTAAAATGGCAGCATGTTGTCACTGGGCATAAATAAGGAGGTAAAATTGACTTGGCCAGAGTGAAGTGGACTGCATTTGATCCAGCATTCAAAGTGAAAAGGAAACAAAACAAAACAAAACAAAAATAAAGTGAAAAGGAAACAAACATAATAGACGATCCCAAAAAAATGGTGTTCAACTATTTCCCCAATCAATACGAGATACTAAAGAGAGGACACTTTTTAAAAATACTCCCAGCTCTCTTCTTTGCCAATATCAAAAATCTGCACCATAGATAGTAATTTATCAGGATCGTTGTAGAGCAACGATCCAGTTGTCTCCTCCATTACATAGAATTCTCCCTTAAATGCTCGTGACATTTACTAAGTGAAAATAGCTCTGACCCCTCCATGAAATTATGCCTTTGTGCTTTGACTCCTGTCTGTGGAATGCCCCTTCTTACTCTACCACCTCCTACCCCAACCTTAGCACCACCTTCCCCTGGCAAGCTTCTCTGCAGGTTTCAACGCCAATTTCAAATAGGTCCTCTTTCCTGAAGCCTTCCCTGACTCCCTTAGGCAGAGCAAGCTGCTTCCCCACCCTGACCCCTCAGCCCTCACTTTGCTGCACTAGAAGTTGTCCCATCTCTATACCTCACCTCCCATGTGAACAATGAACAAAGGATCTTTATATGCATAGAGCAAATGTCAGGAACTAGTTACAGGCATAATGGTACCAAACGAAGCATTTCTTCCTGATCCAAAGGACTGAAAGATGATTAAAAAGGGAATAACCTTTCTAATCACTGTGATTTGATTTCATTTACTACCATGTCCATTTATCTAATACCATGTTCCAAATAATTTCATTTTGTGAAATATGGTATTAAACAATGCTACCACATCACCATTCTTTTGTAATTTCCCCAGTTTTCTACCTAAATTGCCTTGAACCCCATTTAAAGCAAATTATCATTTATAAGTAAATTACAGAAAAGGAAGCCATAATAAATATACTCTCCCAATGGCTTTGCAATTCAAAAAATAAACCCAGTTGTTCTTCTGGAAAAATAATTTTCATTTGATGTGAGTCTCTAAGACATCCATGTTCAGCCAAGGTTTTGACCAAAGACACTAATGTGACCTGCTGCTAAGAAACTACCAATAACCTTATCCTGGGTTCAAGGATCAGAAAGCAGTGGGAATCACAATATGATTGATTTGAGCGCTGGGTAGATTGGACATCACATATCCTAGCCTCCCACTTCCTTGACTACACATAATTTCAAGGACAAATCCTACGGACACCAGTTGTAACCCTTTGCCCTCTCTTGGGTCATAACGTCCCAAGCCTACTATAAAACACATTACTACTTTTACAGTTAAAATTAGTCTCCTTGCACCTCTCCTTTGCTAACTTTCAGCAGTTTCTGGCCAGTTCAAAATCACGTATTTTTTAGTCTTCATCTAATCTTCTCGGGGTCCCGTAAAAACTGGGAATAGAAAAGCAGATTCTAAAATACTCCTTTAGGAAGACACTATTGAGTACATACTAAAGAATTAATTGATATGCTACATTCTGCTTCTGCCTTGGGTAGGTTTTGACACTTGGTATATAAAATGCTAGCAGTATCCCTAGCCCCTCTGCTCCGTGCCCTAGCAGTGAACAACCTGCCCAGGAGCCAGTTCTCTACGAAATTTACTAGAGCATCAAATGGAACCACCACAGCAGGGTCCTCAGCAGAGGGAAACCATGTCTTTGGAGGAAATGAGAGACGTGGACTCCTACAGAGCTGATGCCTAAAGGCAAAAGGCAAGAAGAGTGGGCTAGAAGTCCCTTCCTTTCTCATGTTTTCCTCAGTCAACAGATTCCTACTGCAGGCAGTTTGCCTGGAAAGTTCTAGAAGCAAAGGCATCAGGGCTGAAGTCTTTCCATACCACCATACTACTTCCTTGAGATGAAGTACCTTTGACTTGACTCTGAGGGGAAGTAGCCTGTCTTGTTCCAGCATCCTAGGCCTGAAGGACAAGGAGGTAGCGTCATTACAGGAACACTGTTTGCCCTTCATATGTGCGTGGCCTTTTCGGTCTGGGATTTATCCTAATGATCTTCACACAGAGAGGAGCCAACTGTGAGCTTCCTCTCATTAATGGACTCTCAAGTCCATTAACATTTTCTTAACACCCACTAGCCTCTCCTGGAGTGTCAGCTACATGGTGGTTCTGGAAATAATCACGCTCACATGGTGAGTAGTATTAACTCCCAAAGGCCTCACCTTTGCCCTCCCTGTTTACTTTAAGATGAACGTGGTCAAGGTCTTCCTAACAAATGCGAACTCTTCACCAGAGAGAGGAAGCACTAGAGCCCAGGCATCTTGGTGAGATGGAATGGATGTTTTGCTTCTTACCTTGCAACAGGGGCTCTGGCTAAGATCAGACTTTCCCTTCCACCAACTCCTGGGCCCGGGGGCGTTTTTGTTGCCTCTAGAAAGTGGAGAGGCGGGGGCCAGATTCCTCCATCCCTTGTGGGACTCGAGCAGTTTTCATTGCGGTTCCTTTGGTCACCTGCTAAGGGAATGTGTTCCAACAGCCAGATGACCCAGCATCACAGGGGACAATTAGGGGATTCCCTCAACAGGGACAATGTGCAGGCAGAGACTTTCTCGGTGACATGGGTCTATGTGTTGCTTTCCCGATCTGCACATTGGCTTATGCTCAGGTTGTGGGTCATCACAGCCACTTGCTGTCAACAAGCACAACAGTGGTGTGCTGCCTGACCTGCCCAGAGCCTCTGTGCAATTCTCCCCTCGAGTGATGATCTCGCCCGAGGGACTTTTAGTGGGTCATCAGGGCTTCCTTCCTTCTTGGTTTCCTTGTAGCAGAATCCAGGGATTTCCAAAGAGGATTGAGCACACTGCTAACTTTCTTGCCCTTCCCTTTCACAGAGGAATGTGATGACAGGCAACCACTGACCAGCAAAGAGGAAGAGGAGAGGCGCATTGCAGAAATGGGGCGCCCCATTCTGGGAGAACACACCAAGCTGGAAGTGATCATTGAAGAATCCTATGAATTCAAGGTATGCTTACCAACACTGCCCACAAGGGGAGGCCAGGTCCAGCTTGGAACCAAGACTATTCATAGTGTTAGCGATTTCGGGAACCGGCTCATTAACCGAGAAGCTTCTCAGAGCAGAACTAGAATTGGAAAGTTGGTAGGGAACCAAGAGGTCCTGCAAACCAAATGGTATCAGAACCAGGGTCCAGAGGGTGGCATCTGTCCCTGCATAGGGTCAGGGGTGCCCCAAAGCGAGGACGTTGTCTGAGGGCATAGCAAGGAAGAAGCAAAGGTAGATTCCAGGAGATTTTTCTGTGTGGAAGGAACCAGGCTGTATTTGAAGAAGGGAATAAATCTATCAGAAGCAAAGCATTCACACTGCTGACAATTAGGAGGCTTTTGTTGGTGGAGGGGAGATGGCAAGCTCTCCCTATAGCACATCCATCCCATTGACAAGTGCTCATTTATACTTAGTCCGCTTCAGATCCTGGGACCTATTAGCACAGTCAACCTACCGAAGGTATATAGTGCCTATAACCAGAGAGTTTACAACTGAGCTGATAAAATTGGATTCCTGGTTCTCTGGGTGATGAAAGTCCTTTTTCAGAAGTTAATCAGATGGGCCTTAGGGTAAGCTTAGCATTTTGAGGTGAAACTTCCTGTCCATCTTAGGTGCTCCTATCCCACCTTCCATCCCACCGTGTCCACAACAGCCCTGATGTCTGAGAACACCCTTCAGGAGAGCCACACTTGACGTCTGCAGTGGGACATGAAAAGGAACGTTGTTCTCTGGTTTTCCAGAACCACAAACCCAGATAGCAGATGTATTTTCCCCACTTATTTTTCGAAAGCAGACTCTGCTCCTCTTTGCAAAACCAGAATGAGGATCCCAAAAGAGAGAAGCGGGCCAGGACTTGAAAGCCTCAATATTTTATCTTAGATATTTCATATCAGTGGTCTCTTTTCCTTTAGCTGGATCCATGAATTTTTTTTTTTTAAATTGGTCCACAAATTGAGGTGCCTGATAGGAGACAGGTAGAAAGAAAAAATGTCTTTTGCAATCAAAGTGGAATTTTTAAGATAAAAATGCAATTAAACTTCCCCCTTCAGGCTGCTACAAATCACTGTTTCTTTCACTCATTCCCATGGAAAGAAGGAGCAGGGGTAAAGACCGGGACCAGTGCTTTCTAGGCAGACCCCAACTATCAGAGCTCAGCTGTTGTTCGATCTCGAACCTGCCTCACTCCACACGTAAGACTGGCACACATACACACAGGTTCCCTGTGATCCCGGGATACAGATGACTCAGACTATCCATTTCTATGGACCAGTCTGTCCAGACGTATTCAACCTCTCTCTTCCTCATTCACCCTGTTTTCATCTGGAATCAGAGGGCCTGGTGCAAGCTTGTCCCCCACCCCCAGGGCTCTCATGGGGAACAATTGTGTGTTCTCTCCCTTATTGGACAACCCTCAACGTTCCCCTTCCACGTACCCATGACTAAGAGGAGCAATCACAGAAATTTCTGGAGGAAGCATTAGGTTGGGCATGGCAGGGCACAGTCTCCTAGGCAGGAAAGCTTTCTTGGGTCCAGAGTTCTCTCTGGTAACCACTCCAATGACCTGAACATTTGAAAGTCCCCCAGTCTCTTTACCTAAGTTCACTTGTTCAGGGTTCTTTTCTTCCTAGAATAGCTCCCATAGACTATTTCCTCCCACCTCCTCAAAGTTCATCAGTAGTTACTGTTAACACAAAAGGGAAATTGGGAGCATGTCCCTGAGGTGCCCTCAAATATCAATTTTGGATATTATGTCATTCTTTTAAGAAATTTCTTTTTCTAGACCATAGCTATTTTAAAGACCTTTTTCAAAGCTCTCAGAACTGCTTGAAGACCCAAATCTGGGTGATACCTCACCATGTCCCACTCTGCCTTTGCCCACTGGGTTCTTTACTATGTTGTGACTAAGGGCTTGACTTTCCTAATACCCACTGTTGAGGGTGAGGTTACAACAATCGCTTCCAGGTCTAGGGCAGTGAGAGTTGATCATTGGCATATAGGAAACCTCCAGGTGAATATAGTTGGACAGGTCTAAGTTCAAATTCATCTTAGTCAGTTCCCCTCCTCCCATAGGTCAAGGGAGGACACATATGCAAAATAAGTCCCAGGTAGAACCCAGGCTATCCCATAGTCCCCCAGGATCAACATGAACTAAAGTTTATAATCTACCCTGGGTTTTTCCTCCACATAAATTTTAACTTTCATTTATTTTAAAACTTCGTTCTTTAGAGAGATTTCCTGAGGCAAGTCTGTGTGTTGAGCTCTTACAGCAGTTTCTCTCTTTCATTGTTTATCTGCCAGGTGATGGGATTCTCTGCCTTGGCATGAGAACAGAGGGCTCCCTTGGGGAGGCCTGTTCCATGTTTCCAAGACATTTAGGAAAGATCAAGGTCATTTCTTGTTACATTCTCCACAGAACTTGGAACTGGCATCAGCCAAGATATTCAGAGTGCTTGATGAAATGGGGCTGAGGCCAGAGAGAAAAGACATGCTTGTCATGTGCTTCAAGTTATACCGTGGCCAAGAGCAGTGACGGTTAGAGCTGTTATCAGGGGCACTGGCATTCTGAGCCACAGGCTTGGAGTGGAGAGGTCACCACCCTGAGGAAACAACCAAGCAAAGAATGTTGAAAATACAGAGTGGGCCTGTGGGAGATGGGCCTTTTCATGCTTATCATCTCTCTGTTCACATGACTCTTGTTGAACGAACCCACTTGACATTCTGACTGAGCTTTGGCCTTCCATACAGGCTGCTCAGACCCCATTTTCCTTACTCCCAGTTTGCTGATAACTTGCTTTATTCCCAAACTGTAGTCAATTCAGGTACATTGCATTAAACATGTACAGAGTTTGACCTCAGACAAATAAGATGTGTTTTCTGCATCTTTGCAATTAGTGGGAATTCGAGGCTGCTCTGACAGTAAGTGTAGATGTATGGTAGACTAGTCTGTGTGGTAGTTCCTCTGGGAAGAGCGGCCTCATGTCCTGGAAGTGACCCTTCTCCCTCTAGTCACTATGATTTGTGGTAGCGCTTTGGGTGCATCCGCTTGCTTAGTTTTCCTGTGAACGTTTGGCTATTCCTGTTGTTCCCTTAACTGACATTTAGAAAGCTAGAGAGTGCTAATTGTGTAAAGCCAAGTGCTTAAAAAAAAAAGTCTAAGAAAAAAAAAAAGTCTAAAGAGAAGAGTAAAGCATGGGGAAATTCAGAGCTACGCCAATTGCCATGGGCCCTAAGCCCTATGAATTCACCTGTTCTCGACTCATCTTTTCTTGCTTGCAACAGAAGTAGAGTTAGAGTGAATTCCCTAACAGCTGCCTGGCTGACAAAATCAGTAGCCAAAGAAAAATCTATTTGTTGATGAGCATGCAGGAGCATTGGGGCTCTGCTGTCTGGCTGCATTTCGTCGACAAACAAAAGTACAATAATAACGGTTTTTAGTTTCATAATCTATCTACCAACTGCGGCTATTCAGAGATATGTAATGCTGAGCAGGTCATATCTTAATTCAGTTGTAGGCAGCATCCTACAGATGAAGCCAGGAGAGAAGCCAGTCCATAAAGCATTCAAGGGGAAGGGGTGGGCTTTTGCAACATCTGCTGTTCTTTAAACACCGAGGCCATTCTTCCTTGGCCATTAGACAGTGAAGGAAGCTCCTATCTGCTATGAAGAAATTTCTATTTCAGAAGGGTTCCAAGCAAGGACTATGCTTGTTTGCATAATCGTGACAGTGTTTGATGTCAACACTTTTTCCGAGCTTAACATCCGCCATCCCTTGTAGAACTCTGGGGTTTCGGAATTAACAAGGCCTTAGATTTCCCAAGACCTTAACCAGCCCAGCAGTTATTATCTTATTCTTTCCAACCTTTCTAGAGTACCGTGGACAAACTTATTAAGAAGACAAACTTAGCCCTTGTGGTTGGGACAAACAGCTGGAGGGAGCAGTTTATTGAAGCAATCACTGTCAGTGCTGGTGAGTGCCTTTCTCTGCATGCTATAAATTACAACGGCCCAAACTGCACTTGCTTTTCCCACTGTGACCACTTGGTCTGTGTCAAAGCACCGGAGAACTTCCAGGGTAATATGAAAAGGGAAATAAATGTATTTGTAGCACACCTGCACATTTCGGAGACTGATTTAGACTTTCTAGATGAAGCAAATGTCTTCAAACGCGGCATTCTTCTCCATCTACATTGTGTCTTTCTCTCTGGAAATAGAAGAGATAAATTTAAAAGGCTTTTGTTGTCTCTACCTCACAGATAGCCAATCACGAGGCTTTGTCTGGAAAATTCCCTGAAGGCAGAAGTGGCCAAGTGAAGGTCACAAAGGAGGCAGCAAACTCCTAGGTGGGATAAGGGGACTTTAAGACCCTTCACCACTCCCATCTGTGTCATTTTACACTCCCTTCAGCAACGTCTAACGAATAAGCCTCTGCGCTGGCTCTAGAAGTGGAAATAGAATCACATTCTGTTTCTTCCTCTACAAGCAAAGTGCAGAGTCTTATTTAGGAAAGTCCTACAAAAATGAAGTTGTTTTCAAACTCAAGAAGTCAGAGACCTGAGGGAATTAAATACAGAAAGAAGCGTCTTTTTCCTGGATTGTCAAACCTTGTCCCTTGTCTGTGTGATTTTATAAAGACAGAGGAAAGTCTCTCTCCAAGATGCATGAAAGCAACACCGTTATGGGCTCCCCTGACCCCCAGTTCTTCTGCTCTATCTCTACTGGTTCTTTCTCTTTAACATTCCCCTCAGGTTCATCTTCTGTTGCAACTAATGAACAAAACTAGAATTTTTAAAATAGTGATTCCCACCGTAAAGTACAGAGCCAGCATCACTGGTGGTTGGGCCATGACTCCTAACACAACCCCCTCTTTCCAATCTGCCACAGAACCATTTGACAGATCTCTGAAGCACTGTGGGAACAGAGGGTGGTAAAACTTTCATGCCTCTTTATTATTAGTGCTGTTTATAATCACACTTAGGTTTCTTGAGATTGAGTATACAAAGGAAATTTATGAACATTAAATGGTGGGAAACTGCTTGGAGAATAGATTCGGAATTTACCCACAAATTCTACTTAGGGGAGGGGAAAATTCCCTGTCTTAGTCCCTCTGGGCTGCCATTACCAAATACCAGAGAATGGGCGGTGTATAAACAAGCTCACAGCTCATGAGGCTGGAAAATCCAAGATCAAGACCCTGACAAATTGGGTGTCTGGTGAGAAGCCTCTTCCTGGTTCATAGACAGCTGTCATCTTACTGTGTCCTCACATGGAGGAGTGAGCAAGAGAGATCTCTGAGGTCTTTTTTATAAAGATACCAATCTCATCCGTAGGGCTTTGTCCTCAAAGCCTAATCACCTGTCAAAGGCCCCATCTCCTAATACCATCATACTGGAGACGAGGTTTCAACATATGGATTTGGGGGTCGGGGGGGCCACAGTCAGTCTCCAGCACTCCCTCATTATGGCTTGTGTTTTTCTAGAAATCTAACATTAGTGTCTGAGACATGAGCTATACCCCATCTTCACAGAGATAAAAACTAAAAGGACAAAACTGGCTCAAATAAGAAAGGGCTGATGAGGTCAGTTGAAAACATTAAAAATAATAAAATTGTTTTATGGGCTTTGATATACCAGAATCAGAACCTTAAAAACATTAAAAGCAACATAAACTTTAATGAACCATTCCCAATGGTTCCCAGGTTTCCTTGGGCTGCAGATATATGAGCATTTATATAATGGTCACAAGCTGGAGATCATTAATTCATGTTTCTATACGTCAGTCGTTCTTGGTGGAAGAGATGCGACAGTGCGTGAAACAGACAGATAGCCCTACCCAAGTGGAGCTTACATCCTGCTGAAGGAGATAGGGAATAAGGCAAATAAGGAAATAAAGTGGATGTGTGATGGTGAGCTTGTCGTGGAGAACAACAAAGCTGTGGAGAGAGACAAGAAGTATGTGTAGGGGCCGCACTGGGCTGTGGCCCAGAAAACACCATCGACAGACCCATTAATGATGCAGTTTGTTTTCTAGCAGTGGAGTGGGTTTGTGGTGCTTTATTTACACATTCTAGTAACTCCCAGAGACCAGAGCAGACATTTTATGGTGGCAAAGGGCAGCTTTAAACAGCAAGAGAGATTATGCCAGGCACAAGACCAAAGTTGTGATCCTGGTCAAAACAGATATAGAGTGAAACAATGATAAAGATGCTAATACTCCCTTTAAAGGGGCGGATTTCGTTTGCAAACACTTTCATATATAATCTTGAATTAAATCCTCTCCACATCGTGGGTGATGGGTGTTATGATTATCCTTATCTTCTAGAATCCGAGCATCGGTGAGGCAGTATTGGCTTTGGAACAGTGCTCAGAGCCCTGATCTACCAAATACCAGTCCAATGGGCTGTCTACCTCCCTTAAGAGAGAGAGGTTTCAAAATGAGGAAAATTCCTCCCCACCTCTGTCTCCTTGAGGGACGCTGGTCTTGTCACCTCTCTGGTGCCATGGTTTCAGCACTCTCTCTATGGGACAAGTTCCTGCCCAAATCTTTTGAAGAACTGTTGTTAATGAATGAAATGTAAAACCTCTCAAGTGTTCTTATTTGTCACGCAGTATGTTGTGTTTTATGTTTCTGAATGACTGCTTGGGAATAACACAAAATTGCTCAGAAATTTGCAGGCTGCTGGGTAAATTGACCTTATTTACAATTTTGAGACAAAATATCAGAAAAGCAAACCCATATTTTATGGGCACTAAATTACATGAAGGGCAGTTAGAGAGCTCAATATTTGTCACTATGATTAAATTTAAGCGTCTAAAGAATGTTAATATTCTTTAGTTGTTAAATGGACAGTAAAACTTGTAAAGCAGCATTTATTGAAAACAGACTTTCATTAGATTTTAAGATTTCATGGCTAAAGAGTTGAGAATCAGAACCATTTGCCTTATTAAAAATATTAAATTGCTTTTAAACAGCTCTCCTGAGAGGCTTTTTCCTACACAATTTTCTGTGCGAAATTGAGTCTATGTATCTTGCTAAACAAAAATAATAATTTTGGAAATAGGATTTTGCTTCTGCTTCTCACTGATTATATTTAAATTAGTTTCAAGGTAACCCCCCGGCAGTCTTTTTGTCCCCCTGCTTTTCCTAAACTTCATAGCTCAGTATCTGGGCCTCCGATGACCGTACTGTTTCTGGGAACCCAGCTGATAGAGTCTAACGTTTGAAGAGATCAAGGACTCATGAGACTCTGGAGATTCGGTAGGGATCCAGCAGTCCTGTTCAGGCGGTTCTCCTTCAGTGGCCTCCTGGGTAGAACACCAGGAGCAGTAGCCTGCAGCCAGTTAGGCAGCTGTCAGATGCTTGCGAGGCGAGTCCAGTACCATCAGGTGCTTCTAAGATGTGTCAGCAGATGCACCGACAAGTGAGGCCAGCATTCACTGTATGTCCAGTTTGAATTGTCCCCAGGTCCTCCTTTAAAAAAAAAAAAAATTATGTGTTTTAGAAGAGAGAGAGCGCGCGCACGCACACATGCAGGAGCAGGGTGAGGGGCAGAGGGAGAGAGAATCTCAAGCAGACTCTGCGCTGAGTGCAGAACCCGATGCAGGGCTCGATCTTATGACCCTGAGATCATGACCTGAGCCAAAACCAAGAGTCAGACGCTCAACCGACTGAGCCACCCAGGCGTCCCCCGACACAAGTCCTCCTTCTTCCTAGTGTCTCCACCCAGGCAGAATGGAGGGATGACCTTAAGAAATTGTGGATGAGCCGGGATATAGAGGAGAAGCAGAAGTGTCAAGGAAGAGGGCAAACATTAGCTGGGTGAAGAGAACCCAGATACCAGTGCTGCCAGTTGTGCAACCACCAACAGTCTTGGGCCGTGGTGAGGTGAAGGACGATGGTTGCAAGCTTGGCTTTGGAGTCAGATGTGTGTTTGTGTCCCAGATCTCCAGGAATTCCCTGAGTGACTCCTCTCAATCTCTGTTCCCTCAAATGTAAAGCAGAGATAACTGCTCCTCACTCATGGAGTTGCTGTAAGGATTAATCAAGGCAATTCATATTTTCATGAGGGCTGTCTGTAAGTTTAGATATCACAATTGGCTCTTTGGGAGGCCAATCTTGTTGAAGAATCTACAATAAAAGATAACCAAATTTTGTGTGAATAGAGTCAATTCAGTTTAATTGCTAAAATGACTAAGTGACTAAACCCACTGCTTTTCCCTTTTATAGTGAGAGTCACACACACACACACACACACACACACACACACACACCATTTTATAGGTAAAAAACTGAGGTTCAGAAAAACACTGTAACTTGCTCAAGAAGCAAAGCTGGTAAATGACAATACAAATCAGCCCAGGATTCTCTCCAGTGTCAAGAGTGCACTCACCTGCTGTAGCTGGGGGCTGAGTATGTGCCCGTGCGTACACATGTGGACACACATGTAGAACACACAAATGCACACTACTCTGATACACACAGACATGTGTGCACACAAACACACATGAACACACAGAGACACACATACCCAGACATATGTGTGCACACACACACACAAGCACGCACAGAGACATGCACATTATCTTATATAGCATGTATCTTTATTCATTTGGACAATTGAGCCACGGCTTAAAATATGAAGGGCTATTTTCCTTTAATATTCATGCAGTCTCCTTAAGCCTCATTCAGAGGCCCCCATGGAGAACACCAGCCAGTTTGCTAAAGTACCAAGGGAAGCCTTTGTTTGCCTAATGCATCCATAGTCTTCTCCTGCCCAGTAGCTTGTGACATTCTTTAAAGAAAGTCAACACCCTGCCCTCTCTTTTCCCTGATAATTTTAGGTATCCAGCACCAAAGTTTTTTCCGAAATTCTTTTACTACTTCTGATACAGAGTTTGCCTAACAGAGCATCTATTGGCCTTCTTACAATGAAGGAACATCTCAAAGTGGCAAAAAAAAAAAAAGCCTTTT